ATGACAACAATGTTAATAATGAGTATATTTTCATAGAGGTTTATAGCACCTTACAGGGCTTGCAATAAGCAAAACACTTTCGTCAGACATTTATTATCTTATTTGGTAAGTTAAAATAGGTCTGTAAACATTAGGTATTGTTATACTTATTTTATGGAGGATGTAGATCCAGGGATGCTCATAGAACTAAGACTATAGGATGGAACTGAGTACCCAGGACTTACCGGCTCCCCTTCGTTAGTGACCTGGCAGAAGCAGGCTGCCTCTTTTCTGCAAGTTTCTGCCCAGTTGGCCCAGGACTCCTCAACTACAAAATAAGGAGGATGCATGAAAGGTACTTTCTGCTTCCAAAATCCTATGATCCTACAACCTGGGAGGTCTTGAGAGCTGGAGAATTGCCATGACAGTTTTTAACTTTTGACCCCCCTGATTTCTTTCCAGACAAGCTATATTAAATCTCAACCTCTCCCTCTCTCCTTTTCCCTCTCCCTCTCCATTTCTGCTCCAAGCAGAAATTCCTGGACTATCCTCATCAGCAGAGCTGCATAGACATGGACTTCCTGTTTTGACAGCTGACCTCTCTTTTGCACAGAGGCTGTGGAAACACTGACACCTTCATCTGCCGTGATGTATTGATGTGTCTCAGTGACAGGGTGCAGGGCCACATGGAATAGACTCCCAGCCTTTCTCTACGCTCCCTTGGTCCTGACGGCTTCTCATCAGACAGGCGCTCCCCAGTCTGGCTGCCTCCTCTCTCCTGCCTCCTGTTACCCAAATAATATAATCATAAAATTGAAAGACCCAAGGAGAGCTGGGTAAGTCAGCTCATCTAGTTCTCAGACTGCAGAAAGAATTGCCCCTAAATCACCCCAGCTTTCTTCCCTTGTTGAAGCTCTCGTCATGTGATAACCAATTCCAGGGCCAGGGGAAAAGGCATCAGAATATAAAGCAAGGGCTCCACTTTCCACATTCCATTTGTGTTTGACTATAAATTATGAAAGGCACTTTAATTCTGCGTCCCCGTTTCCAGCGGTACAGGGACTCTAATGGATTCATCTGAAATTACATTAGCTCCAGCCCCATCATTCTTGCTCTGTTTCACAAGCTTGCCTGGAGGAGGCTGATAAAGTGAGTTCTGCCAATCAGATCACTCGATTGCCTCAGGGGATAGCTTCAAGGGCTTCTGTCAAACCTTGGTATTCATTCATAAACATTTATTAAGTGCTTACTAAGTGCAAGGCAAAATAGAGGACCTTTAGTTTTCCTCCCTCCCTCTCTTTCCTCCTTCCCTCCTTCTCTCTTTCTTCGTTTTTTTTTTTTTAAATATTGTTTGAGACCCTACTTACAGTGTGACAGACGCAGTGGAGATACAATGACAAATTACAGACAGTCACTGTCAAGGAGGATCTCACAGCAGGTGGGGGTGAGAGGAGGGTAGACATATAAATAAACATGAGACAGCATGGTGGAGGGGCACCTGATGTCAGTCAGACTGGCTGGGGGTGAAACCCTGCTCTGGCCCTCATCAGTCATGTAATCTTGTGACAGGGCATGCCAGTTCTCCGAGTTATTTCCTTATGTGTAAAATAGAGATAATTATATCCCTCTCAAAGGGTAGGCATTAAAGGACATTATATATGTAAAGCATCTAATACAAAATCTGGATCATACTAGTTGTCAGTAAATATTCGTTTTCTTTCCTCTCAGATAATTACAGTATAATATGGCAAGTGTTAGGATAATCAGAGTTGTGTAGCCCTGGAGCAATAGAGAGGACTTGAGCTCTGAGCCTTTATCTATTCAGGGGCACAGTGGCGGTGACAATGGGGTAGGCAGGCCATAGGGCACTAATGTCATGGGTTATGGGAGTTGAATGAGCTTCCAGGGCAGACAATGGCTCCATGGAGAAATTGGCTGATGTTTTGGTTTCATGCTAAGATTTATAAGCAATTCACTTGATAGGTGGTATCCTTGAAAGAGAATAAACTCACTCCTTGAAGAATGAGTAGAAAGTCACAACCTGGCTGGGGATGGGCAAAGAAAAATGCTTTTGAGGGTGATAGTCAAACTGTCTTTGGTCTCACCTCCTGAGTTTGTCAGGGTCCTTCAGAAGAATGAGCTTTAAGGAAGCAAACAAGCAAATTAAAAGAAAAGACTTGTATCACAAGAGATGCTACTGGAAACTCCCTTTTGGGTTCTAACAGGGTTTAGGATGAGTTGGATGAGGACAGTTGCCCTCTGACACATGATTACAGACAAAGCTAACAAGAGAGGTTTTGAGCTGCCCTCAGGATGGCGAAGGCAGAGGCTACAGGAATACCATCACCAGGGAGCCACAGAACCAGCTTTTGGGTAACAAAGAGAGTAAATGCTACAAAAAGTGGAAGCAAAAGACCAAGCTTCATGAAGTCTAGCTTCTGATGGGACAATAAAACAACTTGGCCCCTAGAGCTCCATTTGGTTCCTGAAGAAATCTCAGCTTCAGTCTCCATAAGACTTTGCTGTGCCGCTCTGCAGGCTCCATGGGTTTGGTTCTTTGGCCTGGTATGTTGTTAAGGATCAATGTAATCCATTTCATTAGCCTTAAAAACAACCATCTATATAGTGTTGTCCTAAACTCAAATGCCCAACTTTTGTTGTTAGGGGCTGAGAGCAGGAGGCTCTCACTCAGATGATCCATATTTTCCCACTGTATCTTCAGGCTGCCAAGGTGCAGAAAAACCTGTGTTACATATGAAGGTCTGGGTACCAGAGAGATCTGACTGCTTGAGGGGTCCAGAAGAAAGGCTCTTAAATGAGCTTCAATTTTTGATAAGCCTGATAAAAGATGGTAGTTTGGATAGGCGTGAAGAGAGATGGAACATGTCCTAGCAGGGCAAGACTCCAGCATGTACAAAGGCATGGAAGTATGAAAGGTCATGTATGGGAAGAAAGCTGTTCCGTGTGTCTTGGGGTGTGGGGTGGCGGGAGGGAAGGCAGGGAAGGTGAGTTGGGCCAGACTATGAAAGACCCTGAATGCACCTGCTTTATTCTGGAGATAATGAGACACTAGGGGTGGCTTTTTGTCAGAGGAGTTATGTGACTAGTTTTCCATTTGACAAGGTAACGCTGGCAGTAACAAGGAGGACTGGTTGTTGTTGGTGGCCCTTACAGAAGGTAGAAAGACCACTTTGAAACTAATGAAACAATTTAGGTAGAACAGGATTAGAACCTGAACTGAGGAAGTGTCTCTGGAGGGTGAAGAGGATGAAGACTGGGAGGTATTTAGAAAGTAGTGATGACAAGGCAGTGAATGACTTCACGTGGGGGCATGGAGAGGGACAGCAGGAGGCAGATGGAGTCAACTAAGTGAAGGTGACTTTAGGCTTCTCAGTAAGGCAGCAGGAACTCAGTGGTTTCAAATCAAAGTAAGCATTTCAGGAGGAGGAACAGGTTCTGAGGGAGCGGTTGCTCTCACTCAGTTTGGGAAACACTGAGTTGGAGATGCTTTTAGGATATCACAGCAGAGATGCTGACAGCAGTTGGAAATACTGTTCTAGAAATCAGGGAGAGCTGGGAGCAGGAGATGTGAATTTGGAGGTAATTGGTGTGTATGTGGTTTAAGTCATGGGAAAACATGAGATCGTCAGGGAAGAGTACTGTGACGGTGATAGGACAAGAGGCTAAAACTGATCACGATGGATATGAGAGGTGGTGGTCTGAATCTACAAGACCCATTGTTTTGAAGAAAAAATAATGGTTAAAGGCAAATTGAACTCTTTCAGCCTGCACTTTGTAAGGTTGAGCCCTTTGTCCTGTAGGTTTAGAAACTTGAGTTCATTATTTCACAAAAGGAGTGAACTGATCAAGATCTTAGAGTTTAATTTATACAATCAAACTCAAAATAATCTTTCTTTTTCCAAGCTGGAAAGGGGTTCTATTAATTTACAAGGGTAAATGCAAAGAAGCACAGAAGTAATCAGGTACTAATTAAAAGATATAATTCCAAAATTATATTGCTTTGTGTAATATCTTGCTTCAAGGTAGAGATATTAAAATATTAGTATTCACTGTCTTCAACAGTATTCTCCAAAGGATATTCTATGGAATAGTAATGTGACTTAAAGCTCCCTAAAATACGTATGATGAAACTTAATAAATAAGCTAAATAAGTTTTATAAAACTTAAATCCTTCTCTTGGATGTTCACAAAGTACATTTTTTTTCTCATTAAATTTTGTTATTTTAATGGGTTTCAAATTCTGTGACAGATTTTTGGTCATGTTGTTTCCACTAAAAAGTACTGATTTTAAAAACTAATAACTTAAAAACTTCCACACACACAAAAGAACCAAATGGTCCACAAAACTTTCTCCTTTCCTTCTGAAGGTTTTACCATGCATTGTAATCATTAACCAGTCTTTTACTATTAAACTTAAATGGCCAATTGAGACAAACAGTTCTCAGACCGTTCTTCCACCACTGATTAAGACTGGGGTGGCAGGTGTTGGAAATAATATTCATTTAGCCTTCTGAGCTTTCTGGGCAGACTTGGTGACTTTGCCAGCTCCAGCTGCCTTCTTGTCCACTGCTTTGATGACACCCACAACAGCTGTCTGTCTCATGTCACCAGCAGCGAAACAGCCCAGAAGAGGGTAGTCAGAGAAGCTCTCAACACACATTGGCTTGCCAGGAATCATATCAATGATGGTAGCATCACCAGATTTCAAAAATTTGGGGCCATCTTCCAGCTTTTTCCCAGAAAGACGATCAATCTTCTCCTTCAGCTCAGCAAATTTGCAAGCAATGTGAGCTGTGTGACAATCCACTCTGCCTCTGTATCTATTTTTGTTCATTAGTTTATAATGGTCTTCATTATCCATAAATGAGTGAGGTCAAATAAGCCAGTCAATGAAAGAAAAAGTACTGATTTTAAAAAACTAATAACTTAAAAACTGCCACACACACACAAGAACCAAATGGTCCACAAAACATTCTCCTTTCCTTCTGAAGGTTTTATGATGCATTGTAATCATTAACCAGTCTTTTACTATTAAACTTAAATGGCCAATTGAGACAAACAGTTCTGAGACCGTTCTTCCACCACTGATTAAGACTGGGGTGGCAGGTGTTGGAAATAATATTCATTTAGCCTTCTGAGCTTTCTGGGCAGACTTGGTGACTTTGCCAGCTCCAGCTGCCTTCTTGTCCACTGCTTTGATGACACCCACAGCAACTGTCTGTCTCATGTCACGAACAGCAAAACGGCCCAGAGGAAGGTAGTCAGAGAAGCTCTCAACACACATGGCCTTGCCAGGAATCATATCAACGATGGCAGCATCACCAGATTTCAAAAACTTAGGGCCATCTTCCAGCTTTTTCCCAGAAACTGCAATCATTTTTTTGATGAAGTCTCTGTGCCCTGTGGCATCAATGAAGGTCACATAATACTTGCTGGTCTCGAATTTCCACAGGAGATATCAATGGTGATACCTCGCTCCCGTTCAGCTTTCAGTTTATTCAAGACCCAGGCACACTTGAAGGAGCCCCTCCCCATCTCAGCAGCCTTCTTCTCAAATTTCTCGATGATTCTCTTGTCGATGCCCCCACGTTTGTAGATCAGATGGCCAGTAGTGGTGGACTTGCCGGAATCTACGTGTCCAATGATGATGATGTTGATGTGAGTCTTTTCCTTTCCCATCTTGCGTTTGAGTTAGCGGTGGTTTTCACGACACCTTTGTCCTCTCGCAGGTCTGGGCCCCACAAAGTACATTTTGGGGAAGAGCTTCACTCAAAGCTTCATGGTGCATTTTAACAGACTTTACTTCAGTTGCAACATTGACTGGAGCAAAGGTGACCACCATGTCGGGCTTGAGAACACCAGTCTCCATGATGTTGATGTGAGTCTTTTCCTTTCCCATCTTGCGTTTGAGTTAGCGGTGGTTTTCACGACACCTTTGTCCTCTCGCAGGTCTGGGCCCCACAAAGTACATTTTGGTTAAAACTTTAAGGAGTCCTAGAGTAAAAGAGCCTGCTCTGCTTTACCCAGCATTTCAAAATCCTTTGTCCATAGAACTCTCCCCCCTATATACCAGCCCTCATTTCTGGCCTGGCATGTTCTGTCTAATGAATAACTCCTCTTGGCTGTATAACAGACATCTTAAACTTGACATGTTGAGAAACAGACCCTTGACATCTGCCTCTCCAAGGCTACTTCTCATCTTCCCCATTTTTGTAAATGGTAACTTCACTTTCTAGTTTCCTGGTTCCCAAATCTTGGAAGTTTCTCTTTTTCTAACACATCACATACAAAAATAAACAAATCCTATTGGCTCAAATCTGACCACTTCTCACCAGTTCCACTTCAACCATTGTAGTCCAAACTGCCACCATCTTCCTCCTGGGTTGTTGATATCACCACTTAACTCATCTCCCTGTTCCCACCTTGCTCCCATTGTCTACTTTCCATACCACAGTTTTTAAATACCCAAGTCATGTGATCCCTCTGCTCAAAATCTTCCAATGGCTCCCCAACCCAGTCACAGTAAAGGCCAAAATCCTTACAGTAGTATATCAGACCCTATTTGATCTAGACCTTCATTGCCTCTATGATCTCATCTCCCACCAGTTACAATTTCAGTCACTGTGTTCCCATCACACTGACCTCCTGCCTCAAGGCCTTTTACTTGCTGTAATCTTCCTGAAATGCTCTTCCCCAGACACCCCCATGACTCATTCCCTCACTTCATTCAGGTCTCTCTGCTCAATTAACCACTTATTAGAGAGGCATTTCCTGACCATCTTATTTAAAATATAGTTGCCTTCACAGAGGGAGGGGGTGAGAGCATGTGCTGTGAGGATATGTGCTGGGGGGTGGGAGTGGCTGCGGAGAGGTCAATAGGGAAAAAAGGAGACTTATGTAATACTTTAAACAATAAAGAATTTTAAAAAAAGAATAATTGAAAAAATATATAGTTGCCTTGTGTTTTTTCATAGCACTTATCAATATGACAATGTGTGTATACATGTGTGTGTGTGTGTGTGGGTGTGTGAGTATGTGTGTCTGTGTGTAAATTTTTCTTTACTATCTACCCCTACCCCCCACCAGGATATAAGTTCCATGAGAAGAGAGGGAATTTGACTTATTCACTGCTGTATCCCCACTGTTAGTATTTCCATGAGTATGTGGAATGCAATAAATATTTTGTTGAATAAATGAATGACTTCCAGTTTTAGATCTGCAGAGCACACCTTGGGAAACTGGTTTAAGCTTTTGATGCTTGCTTCTGGGCTATGGTCTACACTTGGAAAAGGCCTTAATAAAATGCGGCTTTCAATATAGATTTGAAGGCATGGGTCTATTCCATTAAAAATGCTGCACTGTGAAAGTTTAAATTTGGGGGTTTTAAAATAAGGAGTTGAAAGGATCAGGGTTAGCTGACCTGGAAGTCAACCAACTCTCATGTTTGATTTTGGGTGAATATCTACATGCATCACAAGTAGAGCTCATAATTTTGCCTTATACTTGTTTATTTATTTATCTGTTTCTCTAGCTTAAATGAGAGTCTCATGAGGGAAGGCACTTTGTCTTGTTCGCTGCATTCCTAGTGCCCAAAAAGTGTCTGGCATGTAGTAGGTTCTGGTTAAATATTGATCACTTTTTGATTAAATTTTCATGCTGCTTAATTTAAAGACTTATTCTTTGCTTTATGACTTACTCATTTGATGCTTTTTTACTTATTATGCTTAATATGTACATTTAAACACATTCATTCAACAGCCAGTTAATATTTATATAGCACCTACTGTGTGCTGGGAATAAAGGTACAGGAATATGTGAAGTTAGTGTTTTGCCCCATAATGAGACACTTAGTCCCCAGGGATAGCTTGTATTTAAAAGCAGGAAATACCTATATAAATTTTTTCCTGAAGAAATAGTAAAAAATAGGTAAAGATCCTGTTTTACTTGATGCTTTCTTTTTAAAAAAATATTTTTATTTATTTCAGGGAGGAAAAGAGAAGGAGAGAGAGATAGAAACATCAATGATGAGAGAGATTCATTGATTTGCTACCTCCTCCATGCCCCCTACTGGGGATCAGACCTGCAATCTGGGCATTTGCCCTGACCAGGAATCGAACTGTGACCTCCTGGTTCATAGGTTAATGCTCTAGTACTGAGTCACACTGGCCAGGCTATTTGATACTTTCTTGACTCTTGTGAAAGGGAGCAATGGAAAACATCAAATAAATAGAAGAAATAAAAAAGAGGGAGTATTGACTTATGTAAAAAGTCATATACTTAGTAAAGGAATTGCAAAACAAGCCAAGGAACTCATACTCATCACATAAAGAATGCTGGTCCTGCCTGCCTGCCCTATCTGATGCATGATTTGAAATCCCATTAACCTTTTTTGAACTGAGATGTAAGACAATCACCCCAAACTCCAATCTTAATAATAGCACAGGTACCAGAGGTACTTTCTTGCTGCTCAAACTTGCAAAGCACTACTACGTGTTTACATTCAATTTGATATTATGTTCTTGATGTTCTCTGATATACCAGTTGTACTACACCCCTAGGAAATAGGGAAATTGTGTGTGTGTTTTTTAAGAAAGATAATTTTAATTTATTAGAGTTGAGAAGGAAATCTTATAAACTTTTCTCCCTAAGTACATAGCTCCACCCTTGAGAAAACTTAGCTCATTGTGTACTCATGAAAAGAGCACAATATCCTGAATGAGTCAAAACTGAAGATGCCAAATGGTGATACATGGACTTTTTAAAGAAGATCAGAGAACCGAGCCAACATTTTACTTTTGTTATTTAAGAGTAGAGTGTTGGAGGTTATCAGCATTGCAACTTACGAAAGAGGAGTGATGGAGTCACAAAATGTCTTCATTATCCTTGTTTACAGGTTTGGTTTTGGGGTGGGGATGAAAAGTCCCCTACTGGTAATAATGTCAAGTGTATTGGTATTGGCGGCTCCCCAGCACCATCAACCTTGACATGCAAGAATATAAAGAAAAACACTTCCTTTAAAAGTGGCTTTTCTTTTACTTTTTCATATTACTCAGGGAACACTTTTGGTGATTAAAAGTAGAATGACTTAATATGACTTCAATATTCTGAGAAACTCTTCCTTCTACCCTTGACTGCCACTATTTCAGGAAAGATTCTTGACAGAAAAAATGCCAAGAGTAGGAACTTTTTCGCCATCTAATAGTAATAGTCATATACATGACTATTTTTAGAGCAATTTAGGTTTATAATATAATTAGTGGCCCGGTGCATGAAATTCATGCACATTAAAAGGGGATTAATTAGAGGAAATATTTTAATATTGCTATTTGCCCTTTCTCTATAATAGAAGTGTCAAAGATGAAAGAAAATTAGTAAAATGTATATGAAAATCTTCCTCCAGTCAGAGTCTGGGGCGCACTGTGGGACCCAGAGTCAAGTCTCCGCCCACTCGTGGTGCCTCAAAATCGTGCGAGACCCAGACCCAGCCGGCCCCACCCCCATTGGGTGAGATCCAGACCCACCCAGCCCCACCATTGTCAAGCCCCGCCAGGTGTGGGGGGTGCAACCTCAGGTCCCCTGGCCTGGCTCCGGGAGGGGGGGTGCAGCGGTAGGACCCCTGGCACATGCCGGGTGGGGGCACAGCCTCAGGTTTCCCAGTGCACCCTCAGGTCCCCCAGCCTGGCACCAGGGTGGGGGGCATGCCTTGAGGTTCCCCGTCAAGCCCTGCTGAGTGGGGGTCGCAGCATCAGGTCCCCCATCAAGCCCCACTGGGCAGGGGGTGCAGCCTCAGGTCCCCCGGCACTCAGGTGGGGTACATAGCCTGAGGTCCCTAGCCCAGGGCAGGGGCTGCAGCCTGAGGTCCCCGGCCCAGCACCAAGGTGGGGGGCACACCTTCAGGTCCCCCGTCAAGCCCTGCCAGGCAGGGGGGCATGGCCTGAGGTCCCCTGTCAAGCCCTGCTGGATGGGGGGCATGGCCTGAGGTCCCCCAGCCTGGTGCCAGGGTGGTGATGTGACCTGAGGTCCCCTGTCAAGTCCCACCGAGTGGGGGGGGGGTGTGCATTCTCAGGTTCCCTGCCCTGGCCCAGGGCCACGCAGCCTCAGGTGCCTGCTGATTGCTGATTAAGGCTTGTTATGGGAACTTGGCCTTCACTGTGGGTGCAGCCATCTTGAGTTATGGAAACCCCACCTCTGCTGTGGGCGCCGCCATCTTTGTGATGGCATGATGGTCAACTTGCATATTCTCTCTTTATTAGATAGGATTGAGAGGAAGGAAATCTATATTTAGTGATAATAGTAGCACCTTGAATTAAGTTCCTGTGGCTACTGTAAGAATTTACTACAAATGTGGTGACAACAGAAATTTATTCTCTTATAATTTGGAGGCAAGAAGTTTGAAACCCAGCTGGGCTGCACTCTCTCCAGGAACTCTAGGGGAGAATTCGTTCTTTGCCTCTATCAGTTTCTGGTGACTGTCAGTATTCCTTGACTTGTGGCTACAACACTCCAATCTCTGACTCCATGGTCACATTGCCTTCCCTCTTCTGTCTGTTATCTCCCTATGCCCCACTCTTACAAAGTCACTTATCACTGCTTTAAGACCTATAGTAAAGGTCTCCTCTTCTAATCTGAATTTTATTGCATCTTAAAAGACTTTTTCCCTGAATGATGTCTCATCCACAGGGTTTTGGGATTAGGGCATGCACGTATCTTT